ATAGAACTTTCAATTTAATGTTATTAGTTATTGTTAATTAATTTGTTTTTTTAGCTAAAACCTCATATATATTCATATGAATTTACAATGATCATATCATTTCTTTTATTATTACATATAAACATTCTTTCTTTGAGCATATCATGATCTAATGAAATATAATCGATGTAAAAAGATTTCCATTCCTAGAAAAACAAAAATAAAATATATTTTTGTATTGTTGGTGGATAAGCTAAAAGAAGTCAAGACGTTTATGAAGTTCTATCTTTACACAAAAGCTATTAATGTACTTAGAAAATTATGACAAATTATTGATATGATGTATACATAAAAAAATATACCACAATTCTATATCAAATTAATTGCAATAAATTAATTAAAAATATATCATCCTTTGTTTTTGCTCCAAGTGTACACTCATAAAATATTCCGTGAAATTTAAAAAATAGTAGAAAAAAGGAAGTGGAAATAATAAAGAAAAATACAAAATTATATATGGATATAAGTAGTGAAAGGTTACACCTAAATAAACTATACACTTACATATACACAAGTCATTTGTAGTCATCTTTTTCTTTGTAATTCCCTAACTTATGTTGATTTTCTTTACCATTTTAATGGACTCTAGATAGCAAAAAAACAAAAAAAAACAAAAAAGAGAATGAGAAGAAAATGTAAGTAACCTAAAATGAAAATGTTGTTCTTATATAGACAAAAAAAAAATTAATTACCTAATGAATTAATTAGCATACATCGAAAAGCTATAGAAATTATGTTCTAAACATATTTCAATTAAACAATTTATTAAATACCATAAAAGTAAAAGTTATGGGTGTTTCAAATGAATATTGTTGAAGATAAATGATTTATTTTGAAATATATTAACTTGAATGAATTTTTTATAGACAAAACTTCAAAAACGGCCCCTGTGGTTTCCGAAAATCTGAGGTTTAGTCCCTAATCTTTAAAAACCTCACAGATGGTCGTTGTGGTTTCGCTAACTTCGTTAACTTCTGGCCGTTAAGTGAATGACATTTCTGTCATTTCACAATCACAGAGACCATTTATGAAGTTTTGCCTTATTTTTTTTAAAAAAAGAAAAAAATATAATTATCTAATATTAAATGGTATCTCTCTCTCTCTCTCTCTCTCTCTCTCTCTCTCTCCATTTCACAAACCCCCTTCCGATGAAGTTCCAACATGAAAGCTTCGACATAAATTACCCAAAATCCCACATTTCATGTCTAAGAGTTCTGATGGTGTCTGAAACCCTTAGGTCCGACGAGAAAGGTGTTTGAAACCGTTATGTATGACGAGAAAGGCAACGGCTTCGGTGTTTGTGTAACATCCGGACTTTCAGGTATATTATTGTGTGATTAATCTGAGATTTATGGAGTGACTCGGCGAGTTGTGAGTCCAACTCGTCGAGTAGAGTCGAGTGTCCACGTGGGATTAATGAATGGACTCGACGAGTCATAGAGCCGACTCGCCGAGTAGGTGCTGGGCAGAGAAACCCTAATTTCCCGGGGTTGGGGCCTATATAAGGGAACTTATAGCCCCATTTGCGCCTCACCAGTCACCCTACTTCCTTGAGAGAAACCTTAATCGTCCATTTGAGCTAGAGAGTGGGAAAGAGGCTAATCTTGTGGATTTTAGTGCATTGTTGAAGGAGAAGTGGAGAGCATCAAAGCTTGGTTCAAGGGGAGGCTTTGGATCTAGAGGTTTTTCAGAGTTTTGCTTCAGTTGGAGGTAAAAAGATGCTAACTTGGTAATTTCCTTATGAAGATTTTGGTTTAGGGAGTTTCTAGGGTTTCTCCCATTCTTTTTGGTGTCATTGTGATCTTTGAGCATGATTGAGGTTGAAACCTCAGTTCTGAGTTGTAGGAGGCTTTGTGAGCCCAAAGACCCGAACTTTATTGAGTTAGAGACAAGACCTTGAGCATGTAACCTTTGTTAGAACTTGTATTGGCATTATGGAGCAAGTATGACATGCATGAACATAAAGATCGAAGCTTTACGTGACAGTAGAGCCTTGGGAAGCTAGATCTAGAGCTTAGGGTAGTAGATCTGCCTTAAAACGTCTGAATGAGAAAACAGACTGAAGGGACTCGCTGAGTCCATGGCCTGACTCGACGAGTCAGTTAGGGTTTGTCCCGATGAGTTTGATCATACGATAACTCAGCGAGTTGGGGGTCAACTCGACGAGCTGAGCTGGACTTTCTTGAGACTTCTGAGGAAAAGAGGGGACTCGACGAGTTGCATGAGTGCACTCGACGAGTCGGGTCAAACAAGGACTGTTGACTCGAGTTTGACTTCTGGTGACTTTAGGGTTTGGTCAACATGAGTAATGGAGACCATGGAGGGGTAAAATGGTCTTTTACCCAATTCGAGAGTTAGAGAGAAAAGGATAACATGTGGTTACTTAGAGTCGAGAATCGAGTATTAATTAGAGATATTTACCCTATGTGTTAGGTGGTGGCTAGTTCGAGATTCGAGTTCGAGGATATTTGCTTGCTTGTTCGCAAGGTGAGTCTTCTCACTATACTTACCATGAGTGGTATTTTGTGTGACTGAGATGTCTTATGTGTTTATATTGTGTATTGTGATATCCTGCATTATTTCTTTGTGATTTATGCTGTATATTACTCAGAGCCATCAGAGTTAGGCCCGGAGGGTCCATCAGAGTACGAGCCTGGAGGGTCCTCACTTAGACCGGACCGGAGGGTCCAACGAGTAGTGAGACCGGAAGGTTCTCACTTAGACCGGACCGGAGGGTCCAACGAGCTGTGGGATTGGAGGGTCCCACTGAGACACATTGACCGGAGGGTCTTCCAGAGCTATAGCCTCGAGTGGCTAATTATTTGTGCATGGTATTTTGGGGAACTCACTAAGCTTCGTGCTTACCGTGTTATGTGTTATGTGTTTCAGGTTTTTCTCAGGATTGCAAGAGGGCATCGGCTAGATTGTATACACCAGAGAAAGAGTTATGTTTTGAGGATCCTGGATTATTAATCAATCAATTATGGAGTTGTGTTTTTATAAATTAAATACATGAGATTTTTGTGATATGTGTTATGAGAATTATGTGATTTTAAATGAAAATTTTATTTTAAAATTTACGGTGTTACAGTTTGGGAGGGTTTTGTGGTGATTTTCAATCTGTCAAGATTCAACCACCGTCAATCTCTGAAGAGTCAAACCTGGTAAACCCTAATGCAATATCAAATCAATTTTGAAACTGAAATCGATTTTAAGGGTGAAATCGAACCATGAATATCTTTTGTTTATATCAGATGGCTCGATTAATAGGGGTGTGTATGTGCGATTTCGATTGCAGATTTCAAGGATCCTCTTCTTCTCATTCGTTTCAAAAATCTTGTGAGTTTGTGTTTTAAAGGTTTTCAAATTCATCAGTTTCAGAAGAATTCAACCACCTAAGAAACGTCATGCTCTCTTTGTTTCAAAAGGATCCTCTAACTAGAATGATTCCAGAACTACATTTGGTCAGGTCGGTGGGGTTGTGTAGGTCTAATGATACGCCGATCCTTGTAGCATCTTTTCCGATGAAGTTGATGTGATAAAAGGAAATGTGTGTGTATGTGTGTTTGAAGGAGACGAAGAAGAAAAGGAGGAGAAATGTTTGTGGACTCTTGAATGAGATTGAAGGGATGGAGAGATCTGCTCATTTTGTAAACGAATTGTGTGATTCGTTACAGTTTCCATTGGCAGAAGAACTGGAATCAGAAGTGAGAAGGAGGGTGGAAGAAGTGGAGATGGTGTCTGGAGCAATTAAGAAAGTTCTCAACCCAAATTTGACTTTTTCAGACTTCATTTCAGTCAGAGAGAGAGAGGAGAGAGAGAGAGAGAGAGAGAGAGAGAGAGAGAGAGAGAGAGAGAGAGAGAGAGAGAGAGAGAGAGAGAGAGAGAGACCATTTAATATTAAATAATTATATATATATATATATATATATATATATATATATATATATATATATTATTTAAAAAAATAATAATAAGGCAAAACTTCATAAATGGTCCCTATGATTGTGAAATGACAGAAATGCCCTTCACTTAACGACCAAAAGCTAACGGTGTTAGCGAAAATGACCATCTGTTAAAAGTTTTGAAACCACACGGACCATCTGTGAGGTTTTTAAATATTAGAGACTAAACTTCAGATTTTCGAAAACCACATGGACCATTTTTGAAGTTTTGTCTTTTTTATATGATTTATAAAGATAAAGCTTTACCCGTTTTAAAAGAGAAAAAAAAAATTAAACGAAACTTTAGGTTTATTTATTACGTTACAACTACCGATGTTTTTCTCTGCGTTGGTATATTTTACCGCCCCACGTTAATGGAGCCATCCATTTTCATCATATCTGTTCAACACAATTTTGTTGTTATATCACGATACATATTATATATTGATGTAAGGATTAATGTCATGAGTAGTATGATTAGAAGGTTTTTTTTGCATAAAATACTATTAAAGTAGAAATATTTTATGAACAAACAATTTAAGTTTGTTATTAAAAAAGCAAATAGTTCGTTATGCATTTAAAACAGTTTCCCTATTTGTTTAAGAGTAACAACATTACAATAACTATTATAAATCTTTTATTTACATATATCATGAATCATTTACCAACCTAAGTATTCCCGTACAAATTTGTATATACATACATTCCAACAATGGTGGAGCCGAATATTTGTTCTCAAGTTAAAGCATTAATTTGACGTTTATGTCAAAAGCTAATATGACATTTTCATAACAAGACATGTGTAATAATAAAAGTTGGAGATCATAACATGAAACTAAATAAAATAGACTTTAAATATTCCAAAACTAAAACGTCACAAACAACAAAGATATTCTTAAAACCAAAGACATGCTAACAACACAAACCACAACAATACTCACCTACACAACAAAACTAACTTTATAAGGCGCGAAATAGTTAGCTATCTAGGGACTTCAGAAACAAGCTTTAAGGAGATCAAGGGAGTACACCACCACTACCACCGCCACTAATAGGAACAACACCACCAACACCGCCACCAACAGGATTACCACCACCAAATCCACCACCACCAAGAGTCGGTAAACCACCAAAACCATTACCAAGACCACCAAAAGTTCCCACACCACCGCCAGGGCCACCTGGTCCACCAAATTGATACCCAACTCCGACACCTCCGATTCCATTGGCACCACCAAAATCACCACCTACTCCAACTCCGGTTCCCATTCCACCCATTGGCAAACCATTGTTTCCAATGCCACCGAATCCACCTGTTCCTCCAAAAGTATAAACGTTTTTTTGGTCTGTAAGACCAACGTTTTCTTTAGGAACGTCTCTAGCAGTAGTGGTGCAAACTGCTACGACTAGAGCTACGAATAACATGAAACAACACCTTGTCATTTTTTTTCTTCTTCTTCTTCCAATTTTACCCTTTGAAAGACTTAACTTGATGCAAGAATTTGAAAAGTGAGGAGAGTATATTTAAAGGGAAATGCGAGAGTGAGGCGTTGGGGGTAATAAATGTAAGTTTTAATATTGGCAGAAAGCAACTGACCAATTGGCAGTCAAAAAAGCAAACATTTCTCAAAAAGAAATAATAACAATAACAATAATGCAAAATTATTTTAGGATTCAAACATGGTCCCTTTATGAAATCAACATATTTTATATAACTTCATGTTGTTTATTATATAATATGCATACCATACGATACGAAGATTATGATGTATTCGTCGTAGCATAACGGCCGGTTATCGCATTTTCACATTGTACATTCCAACATACAAGCATTTACCTAACTAAATCAAACAACTAGAAATTAACATAGAGAAAAATGATACATATTTTAAAACTTTTTTTTATTTATAAATCTTACTTTAAAATTTTAACATTTTAAAATATATGTAACACCTGTTCCAGGTATTACTTATTTTTATTTAAAGTTTTAAGGTTTTGGTGCGTGGACTCGGCGAGTTGGGAGTTCAACTCGTCGAGTAGAGACATTATTGGTGGACGCGGGATCGAGACCTACTCGACGAGTCGGAAGGCCGACTCGACGAGTAGGAGCTGTAGAGAGAAACCCTAATTTTTAGGGTTTGCACCCTATTTAAAAAACATATCCTTTCTCTTGTGGCCTCCCTTAGCACCTTTTTACCTAGAGAAGAGAGTTTACGGCCGTGAACCCCTCTTGAGTGAGAGAAATAGCTTTTGTGAGCAATTTTGGAGTATTTGTGAAGGGTTTTGGAGCTTGAAGAAGGAGACAGGAGAGGAACAGTAGATCCAACATTTACTTCATATTGGCCATCATCCTAAGGTATAATGTCGTGACCTTGACCTCTAGTTGTGTAGATCTCTTTTCTTGGAAGTAAATGGTCATTTTTGGGGCAAAATGGAGTCAAACTTGGATCTGCACTTTTCACAAGGATAGGGTTCCAGATCTGGACCTCTTTAGGTCCCAAATACCATAAAGTTGCTTCCTTTATGCAGTTTGGTCTCTTTCCATGCACAAAAACCTTGTAAGAAGCCTAGTTTTGAAGTTATAGCCTTGAAGGACCTTGCATGCGCATAAAGTTTGCAACTTTACGTGGTATCTGTATTAGGAGAACTTGGATCTGGAGTTTGGGACCCTAGATCCCACTAAAAAGGGCTGAACTTGAAGAAGACTGAAGGAACTCGTCGAGTCCCTTAACTGACTCGACGAGTCGAATAGGGTTTACCCGTTTTCAGTTCTAAAGAGTTTTTGGTTGTAAAGAGTTTCCGGTTGTCATGAGTTTACGGTTGTCATGAGTTTTCGGTTGTGGACAAGGAGGGACTCGACGAGTTACACAGGTAACTCGGCGAGTAGATGAATTACTCAGAAACTCGACGAGTTGCTGGATGCACTCGACCAGTTGACGTCAACATGGACTGTTGACCTTGACCGGTGACCTTGACTTTGACCAGGGTTGACTTTAAGGGCATTGATGAGATTATGACAAGTTAATCACATGATGCTTATAGGCAGTTGAGTTGGAGCAGTACGTGGGACATATCTGATTCTAGCTTATCAGTTCAGCAGTGCCAGGTGAGTCTTCTCACCATACCAATGGGTCTAAGGCACCAAGTCGACCCATTTTATGTTATGTGGTACACTAGCTGTAGTAGAGATATGTTGTATGATAGTTAGCTTGATGCTAAGTGGTATGCTAGTGATTTGTGATATTTGCATGGAAGACCCCGAGGGGAGCCCGTGACAGTTGGATATAAGACCATGTGGGGGAGCCCATGACATTCCTAGGTAAAGACCATGTGGGGGAGCCCATGGCATGATGGTATAAGACCCTGGGGGGAGCCCACGACATCCTTATATGTTTATGTATGTGTTATGTAGTATGATAAATACTTCTGTGATATATGATATGCTAGTTGATTATGTATGTTATTGTATGGAAGACCCCGGGGGGAGCCCGTGACAATTGGATATAAGACCATGTGGGGGAGCCCATGGCATTCCTAGGTAAATACCATGGGGGGATACCATGGCATGAAGGTATACGACCCTGGGGGAGCCCACGACATCCTTATATGTTGATATGCATGGCTTATGTGGTAGAGATCGCTTGTATAGTTAATATGATATGTGATATGTGGTAGAGATAGCTTGTATAGCTAATGTGATACGTGTTATGTGGATTGTGTGTGGGGTATGCTTTGGGGGACTCACTAAGCTTCGTGCTTACGGTTTACAGTTTTGGTTTCAGGTATCATTGGTTTGGAAGGGGAGGGCTCAGATTGATCGCAGTGCACACACCTATGATTTCCGCAATGAATGATTTTGGGATGAACTCTGATCGATGTTTTACTTAATGATGATTTGAAATGTTTGAAATAAATGGGATCAATGTTTTAGCTATACTAAAAATGAAATTTTTATCCTTGATTTTTAGGTCGTTACAAGTTGGTATCAGAGTCTTGGTTTGAGGGATTCGGACATACTTTCGAGTGTGCCTGAACTCAAACTGAGGATCCGTTAAGTTTTCAAAAGAAAAATGTTTTAAGGAAAGAATTTATAAGACAAGAAAGGGTGTGGTGCATGCAATCGGCCGAGCTCAAGTAAGTTTCCCAGAATACCCACATATGTTATCTGTTATGACTTGGTTTATGAATATGTGAATCGCATGCTAGTTAGGGCTAGGGGAGATGCTTGTATATGTTGTATGAGCTGGTAGACTTGCATGCTACTGCTGAGTAGTCAGCAATAGGTTGGCCTGATATGTGGTGCTTCTAGCCTTGGAGATACTGGATGTCATGCTAGAATGAGAATTATGATTGGTATCAGTAACTGCTACGTGTATGCTTTTAAAATTGTATACGATTAGGATCTTATAGCCTTAGAATAATTGATTTGGCCTTATTTCCTGTTCCTTGTCTGGTTGTGGTCCTAGGGTAGAGTCTATTATTCGACAGTCTATTAGATCCTGTTCTGTGTATAATTTGCATGCATAAGGCAACCGACAGTGATGATGGATGGATGTGGATAGCACGAGTTGTGGTATGTGGGCTGAATGTCCTATGGATCAGAGTGCTACTGCACGAATGCTGCTTGCTTTGTGCTTTGTGGAACTCTTGAGTGATGAGAGTCAGCCACTAAGTGGATATGACGATATCCAGGAGGTGGATGGTTGGCATCATGGGGAGTTCTTCAGTCGCCGATGGCAGGGCGAGGTTGGAAACCTAGGAAAGCCTAGGATATGCCCCAGTGAGTTAGTGGGGCGGTTCAGTGAGGTTGATAGCCTAGGAGGTGCTTCAGTTGATATTGTGTTGCTGTTTGACGGATATTTGGTGGATCAGTGGGATAGGTGACTTAGAGGATTCGGGAGGATTGCTGAGGAAAGTATGGATAGGTGTGGAAGGTAGTATGGGCCCGTATTACTGAAAGAACAGGATTCATACTCAAATCAGTGAGAGTCTTGGAGAATCTAAGAAGCTGATGGGAAGGGGAATTCTTGGTTATGATTGGACCGTGGAGATAGCTGCTATGCAGAATGTGGATGAGCATGCAAGGGGAAAGACCAGGGTTTGGTCCCGGCTCCGGTGGTGAGCCAGGTAGCGGAAGGACTGTCAGGATTTTTAGTTCGCCTTGGATCTCTGGTATCAGGCGGCAAGGATTGATTGTGCGATCTATTGAACTTTCGGGATTGGAGACTATGTCTCGGGGATAGTTAGTAGCTCGGTTTAGAGCAAAGGTTTCTCCAACTATTGCAGTTCAGCTGTTGACGATTGAGCTGGTGAGTGTGCCAGGGTGTGAGACCCTGAGTGATACGATTTCTAGAGCTCGAGAGCAGGGATTGATTTGGAGCACATTGGGAAGAGGGGATCAGATCAGGTACATACATTGGAGGGTCCCAGAAAGAGACCCAAGAGTTGGGTTAGCTTTTGAGAGGCCAGCAAGGCCGGATTCAGTATAATTCTTGCGGGAAACTGTACAAGGGATTTTTTTCGTTTCAAGGTTTAGTAAGTGTATATCTGGGTTTGTTTCCCTGCTTCTGATTGGATTGTACCTTCAAACATGATCATATGTCATTTACATACCGTGAGTTACGGGGTGGTTAGTGAAGGTCGTTTCCCCTTTTTGCTGGTTTGGAGCGTTCAATGTTATCTAGGTCTATGGTCGAGATCGGTTCAGAGACGTGATACAGAAGGTCTACGGTCAGGATCGGTAACTCAGCCAGTGTGCCCGAGTCGGCTTTTGGAGGCGCCAGGGGAAGTGGTCTACTGCGGAGGCTTTGGTATGGGCATCGGTTATTTGGACTTCAAGATGTAGGCGGGGCATCATTTCAAGGCGTCTGAGATTATTAGTCTCGCTGGGATTCAGGAAATGTTTGTCTGATATTTAGGAGTTGCGTGGCTTTTTGGGGTTTGGGACAGTAACAGAACACTCGCACGGGTAAGAAACAAGTTGTCAGCAGTTGGTTATTAAAGAGTAAGAAGGATCGGGAATCCTTCAAATCTCATGTATTGCGAAGACTTAGTCGAATCTCAGTGGGGGAGAATCACGCAGGTATTCAGGATAGGGACATGTATGAGATCGGTATGGGTTTCTCGACCTCATCGAGGAAAATGGCGGCCCAAGTGGCTATTTGTTTTGAGGGTTGTGCGAGTTTGGAGTTCGGTAAGACTCCCCGTCATGTGAATCGCGTCTTCTTGGGGGCTTGATAACAGAATATGGGGAGACAGGTTAGGGCTCCAGTCATGAATGGAGTTCAGTTTGGGTGTTCAGTGGAGGGTGTGCTCGACTCTGTATACATTTCGAATCAATAGATTAGGGTAAGGTATTGGGCTACGGTTGTGTTAGGATGAGGGTGTTGTAAGACTACGGGGGAGCCGTAGCATTCACTAATAGTCAGTTGGTATGAAAGTGT